TTTACCAAGCATTTTTATCATAATTTTTACCAATTTATATACAACATTTACATAGAGCAGAAGATTCTGGAGACAAGTTTACAGCTTTATTTTCAAAGAACAAGTGCACACTTTTTTAATATGCAGTATATACGAGTAGTTATTATTTCTTTTATATCATGTGATCTATAATACCCAGACTTTTTTGTCAGAATCGATGCCGTAAGATGTAATCATAATGACGGATGAAGATCTCAAAATATTTACTGGTTAGAATGATTTTCGGTTTCATAAGGGCATTTTGCTGCGCAGTATAGATTCATTTTATAAATAAACATTACGTTTCTATTAATTAACGATAATATATACGCGAAGAGCTTAGTTTATTATGTGAAAGAGATTATTTAATGTTCTCATCTGTTAGAAAGGAATTGCTAATCTACAATTAAAATATATATCTTTCAAGATTTAGTTTAAGTTCCCTTACCAAGTTACTTTTAAAAAATAACAACAATAATAGGGGAAAAGGAGAATAACGAAAATAAATTTAAATATAACTTAAAAGATTTTATTATTAAATGCATCAATTGTTATGATCAAAAGTAATTAAATCTATTAAAACTAAGATTAAACTTATTCCTTAATAAACTTTTAAATTTCTTGAAATTACATAAAATAAAACTTAATTCAAAACAAGATGTTTCAAATTTTTTTAAACCTAGTTGAAGACTTAGTTAAATAGCGGTATAAAAATTATCATAGGTGCAAAAATTTACCCAAACCAGGGTATTTAGTTTTAGATTTTACAAATAGAATTTTTAATAAATTTAGTTTGAATACAATGATTTGTAAAATTAAAAACTTTCTTCCCATTCAACTAAATTGTAAACTCACCTTTAGATGTACAAAAAATTTAAGTTATCACGTTATTACCGGGGATTTAGATATTATTAATAATGATAAAAATAAAAAAATTCTGCCTTTAGGTTCTAAATTTAGAATATTCAACTTCCAAAAATAACGTTATTTTTACTTTTATTAAAAATCTTGATAGGTTTATTTGAAAATTATCTTACAAACTTAATTTTCCACTTGAAAGATTTTATGAATGGAAAGAAAACATCAGTAAATATTTCAAAATTAATTAGAAAAGAAACAAATTAATTTTTCAAAAAAATTTAAATTTCAACTCTGAACTAAAACAAGAAATTCAAAAAATTCAAAATGAATTTTGCATGACTATTGTTGATAAAACTAGTAGTAAGTTAGCTATTATTTAAAAACATTTTTACAAACAAAGTCTTCTTTCTAATTAAATTAATTGCAGTATCACATACAAAAAATTCAACACCAGCAGTTATATTATTATTATTAAAAAAATTAATGCTATCTAAAAAGACTTAAAATTAAATCAAATAATATTAAAAATTTTCCTTTTCTTTTTGCTAATCCGAAATTCCATAAAAATCCAACTAAATTAGAGTTTATCGCCAGTGGCGTTAATAGTAACATGAAGAAATTGACGTTGACATTCGGCATAAAACATTTTATTAAAAAAGTATACAATAAAATTAGTAAGCGTACTAAAAATAATAATCACATAAATTGAAATATTAAAAATAGTACATAGGTTTTAAAAACACTAAAATCTTTAAATAATGTTGATTCTCTATTCTGTTGTGATTTCGAAAACTTATATACTTTCCTTCCAACAAAGTAACTAATAAAATTATTGATGACCTTCTTCAAATTCATAGTTTATTTAATCTTAATGATATTATTGATGATGAAAACTGGAAATTTCCAGTTCATGTTAACTTAACCAATAATTATATTCTATCTAATGACTGTATTTTCTAACAAAATAATGGTATCCCAATGGAAAATGATTTCAGCACTAATGTTTGTAATATTTTTCCTTTTCTCCAAGAATTCGTTAAATCATTTGTTAATCTTCCTACAAATTCCTTCTTTCTCAGATTTATTGATGCTCTTTTGGATACTAATTCTAACGATTTTGATATTTTAGTAAAAAGAAATATCCAAGTGAATTAATTCTTAACAAAACTAATCCTTGAAACTTTTCCGCATATTTTCTAGATTTATATCTCATTATTAATGAAGATAGGAAAATTACATTTAAACTTTTTAGCAAAAGAAAAGAGTTTGACTTTCCAATTAAAAAGAGCATTGATTTTAATTCCAACTTAGCCATTCTAAGGTTTTACAGGAATAATTCCTATTACAATTATAATTGAAATTATAACATGAATGCAGTTTGAATTAAGGAATAGAAATTTAACTATAAAACTAGAGAACAATATTTTGTCCTTTCTGTTGCACTAGAGATTTGAACAAATTGTTTTAGGTATTTTCGGGACACTGATTTCAAATTTGAAGTCGCTTTCCCTCTAAAAGATAAAGTATTCATTAAATTAAATAAAACATTACTAGCCAGAAAAATTTAAAATTTGTTCAATTGAATACTAAGTGTTCATACTTCTCTGTTACGTAGGGAGTGGTAGGTAGAAGGCGATAATACGTTTTCATTTATGATGAGATACGTTATTGCCATATTTTTTGTCTGAAGTGATATTTTCAAAGGGAACAGATAACTGTTTATCTGCTCATATAAACTTGCACGTTCTTCATAAAGTTTTACATTCAGACAAAACTAAACAAAACAGAGAATAAAATTTTTAAAAAAATCTGCAGTTGATCGAACACATTAATTTCGGATTTGAAATCTGTGTACCCAAATGAGTTAAAATCAATGCAACAAATTGTTCCCTAGTGTAATCAATAAATTGTAAACAGCTCTATTATTTACTTTTTGGCTTGCCAATATGTAATTTCTTTTCTATTTTTGATAATGTTAAAAAAATGCATATTAGAGGTAATCTTGACAGAACACCAGTATACCTTTATGGCAGATAATACAAGAGGGAAAGAATTGTAACCAAAAAACTACTTTTCCTCTGGAAAGGATTATAGTTTTCCTTAATTTTATTTTCAAATGGCTTATTGACCAAAACGACATGTGATAATGCTTGATACTATACTGCAATCTGGTGCTCATCAGTTAAATTAAAGTTTAAATTTTAAAAATATTAACCCCTTCCTTCTCGCTCCCGTGAAAATGACGGGGTGAGATTTCGCCCGCTATTTCTCGCTCCCGTGATATTGACGGGCTGGAGTGTTCAGAAGTAACGCGCCAATAATAGTAAAACTAATTAATTTCTTTTGTCCGGAAAACATTTTATTTCTCATTTTACACACCTGATGGCAGTACCAGGATATTTTTAAGGTAATTGTAGATAGTTAGTTTATTTGAAACTAATTGAAGCACTAAAAACTAAGATCAATAGCTGCTCATTTCACCTCCGACGCCTCATACCACAACTATCAGCACGAATAATAGTCTTCAATTCCAGCATCTATAGTCTACATCAATAATCCAAAGCATCAATAGTCCACAGCATCAAACACTTTACCAATACTGAAATCCTGACCTATGCTACTTCACGTTGACTATCAAATTACAGCCATCCACAGATTACAGCAAGTTGCTCTTATTATTTTCATTTTCCTTTAGTTATACAAGGAAGGTGCTTGTCTCCCTGTAACAGCCACCCCATAGACTGCTGAACTCAAACTGTCGTTTATTTTAACTTCTTATTCTATTTCATGATCTATGGGATATAGGCTTTCTGCGCGGCATTTTTATAGTGCGGCATATTTAATAAGTGGTTTCAACTGTTTCAAGAGGCTAGCGTAAATTTAATTGTTTTTTTTTATTGCATGTCAATTTAAAGGATTTAGCAGATCAGTTATAACACATATATTTAATTTACAAATACAGCTGATCAAATAATAATTAGTTACTTTCAAGGAGTCAAAATCCTTGATCTTTTTTTCAGTATTTTTTTTTCTGAAACGTGTCGACCCTGAACTCATAATAGTAAATAACAAATACCCACTCGCCAATTCTTCCGGTTTTCCCGGAAGAATTTATTTTTATAATTAAAGAGGAGGCAAAATTTATCGAATCACGTGTTATTTTTTCATTAAATAAATACGGTTTAGAATGATATTGACTACCATTACGCATAAATAATTTAAATACATAGTGGATTTAATAATTAGCTATATCTAACCTGCCAACTCTTCCGGATTTTCCCCAAGATTTTATTTTCATATTTAAATTGGTAGCAATACTCGGGTTATTCCAATTAACTTTTTGAATTATAATGATAATTATAAATGAGTTTGACCACCACTATATATAAATAATTACAATAAATATATAAAAGCATAATAAATATTGCGCAAGCGAATTTCAACGGGATCAAATTATAAATATATTTTTGAGCCAGATTGTTTTTCGTTTATTGTTTTACAACCACTCTGAAAATCCATTCTCGGACAGAGTGAAAGTTGGCAGGTATGCTATATCTTTAAGCAACACCAACATACATTCTTAATTTAATTAGCCCAGAGATGCCAACTTGCTCCGGACAGCAAATATATATTTTAAAGTGGTTGCCTATCAATTGTGATTCTCAATTTAATAAATTCAATTTAGTAGATTTATTTCCACCACTATTTTTAAATAATTCGTAGGTTTATAAAATTCATCACTTTATAGTTCGTTCTTTATGATATACCTCTTAAAAACCAAGCAAAAGAAGTGACATATTTGCAGAATATATTTTGCGATTTACCGCTTATTACATATTTGGGCGTGTCCGGAGCAGTTGGCATCTCTGTTAGCCTAAACCTACCACTAGGAAAACGCATCTTTGCAAAGTGTAACTAATTGGTACTTCATTTACGCTTAAACTGGTGGGAATTTTGTTGTTAGTTTGGTTTTAGTGTTGCCGTTGCTATTTTTTAATCATAATTAATTTACCTCACAAAAAATAGTTTGTACTTTTGATTTTTATAATAGCAAGCAATCACTTGTACGTATCTTACTTCTTACCATATTTTTCATTTATTCATTCAATTTACTTTTTCAGATATGTATTTCAAACTTAACAGGAGGACTCCAAAGCAGTGCGATTACATCATTCCATCAACTATGCTGCAATTACCGAATTTCCAGACCAAGAAAATGCATTTCGTGTTCATAATGTGCTTGATAATTGTTTTCGTGCACCAATCATCACCAAAATCTTCTGTGGACTACAAAACAAAGTTTGCTTTGGCTCAAGCTCACTATGAGAGAGTGAGATGGAACACTGAATGCTCACGACCACAACCTCGAGTGTTCCGGGTTGGAACACCGGAGTTGAAACTTGTGCCATCTGCCACCATACTTCACAGATGTGGGGACTCTACGGGATGCTGTGACTTTTCAGTTGAAAGTTGTGTGGCAAAAACCAAAGAAAGATTAAAACTCTACTTTTTTGTAAAATCTTCAAATGGCCGACAATGGAGGAAAAATAGGAGATTTAAAGTGACAAAATTATTTTTGTCCAATCATACTTCGTGTCATTGTGTTGATAAAAGAAATATACCTAGGTGATGTTGTACCTTGTTGCATGATCTTCTTGTTTTTCAATTATTTGGTTAACAATGATCGCAATGTCAACAATGGAGAAAGAATAAAAGACTGAAAATGACGAAATTATTTTTTTTTCGAACTATACTTCGCGTCACTGTGTAGAAAAGAAATATATAAAGGTGACATGCATCATTATATCTTGTTGTATGATATTTTATTTCCTTATTTGGTCAAAGATAGTCCTAGGGCTGACAATGGCGGTCAAATGGAAGACTAAAAGTGGTAAAATTACTTTTATCTAATCATACTTCGCGTCTTTGTGTAGATAAAAAAATATACCAGGGTGATGTTTCACCTTGCTCTAAGATTATCTTTGTCTTTCATCATTTTGTCAACTATGTTCGAATGACCAACACTGGACGAAGAATAGGAGACCGAAAATGACAAAATTATTTCGTTGAATAATACTTTCTGTTATTGTGTACAAGGTGGTGTTATGACTTGTACAATGATTATCTTGTTTTTCATTATTTATTGTCTCCATACTTTAATTACCAATTTTTCCAAAATTTATAAATTTTACATTCAGCTGTTTAATTGTTGTGTTAAGTGAGAAAAATTATTCTATTCCACAAACAACATAAAATACACAATTGGAACAACGGATAGAAGTGAATGTAGAATTTAGTCTCACAAATGTCGGTAACGCTTGCATTGCATTGAGCATTAACAATATTACGTATTCAAGGCAAGGAAATCGAAATGAGTTGTAATTTATATGTGACGTAACATATCAGGAAGAGGATGCGTCACTAAGATACAACGGGTTCGTGAAGTCCGTGTTTAGCTAAATAAAACAAGCTTCCTGAGAGATAAAATGATTGACTTATTTTAAACTATCAAGTGACAACAAATTAAATCTAATTAAGAGTTGTAATTTTTTTCGCATTCACTTCTTTTTAAAGAGTTAGGGAAATCGAAGCATCCTATAAGTTTATCGAAGCATGAAATAAATTTTAAAAGCTGTAAATTAACATAGCTGTAATTTTCCCCCCATAAATTTTATCTTCCATGCAAAAATGAATATGCCTAAACATTTACCAATAATTAATTTGAGCTTATCTAGAATTTTTATACAAATTTGAACATTAATCTTGATTTAGAATTATACACAAGTTAATCTGAGTGTACATTTTTTTTAACAATCTTTTTTCTTTTTAAGACAATTGTTGATTTTGTACACACTGATTTGACACGGGGTTTTGGTTGATGCTTCATAAAACTAATTATTTAATATTTAGTTATTAAATAAAACAAGTAAAANTTACCGTAGCCTTAAGACAATTGTTGATTTTGTACACACTGATTTGACACGGGGTTTTGGTTGATGCTTCATAAAACTAATTATTTAATATTTAGTTATTAAATAAAACAAGTAAAATCAAAATGAAATTAATTTTCGTCAAAAAATTCTGTCTTGAGAAAATAATGTTAAATTTAAATTAAAGGGTGATAATATTTTATTTTCCCCATCTTTTAGGAGGAAGCACAGTTTTTAACTTCTACTATTTATAAAAAAAAATATAGTATCTATATACATGCATACCTTTTCATCATCTTCAAAATTTATATGGGCACCTGAGACCCCTTTGCCATCCACCTTGATGTTTTAACTTTAAAGTACTACTTTCTGGTAACGGTAATTGAGTGAAACGAAAATTAAATATTTTTCATTTTAGATTTGGAAGTTAACCTCAGTTAACCTTTTCTGAACACTGTCACACAAGGTTGCCAGACTTGGAAATTAAAAAATATACTACAACTTTACCTGAAAAAATACTACACATTCTTAAGCGCCATCTACAGTAGTAATTTGGAAGTTTAAATAATATTAGAAGGATAAAATACGACTAAATAAATAATATTACTATTAAAAGGATAAAATAAAAAGATATATTACTGAGAATAAAATAATTTTAAAACAGAAGTGCAATTAACTTTTCCTTTTTGTGCGCTTATACTTCAGGTAAATGCGTAGTAAAGATTTAAATCAGCAATTTCGTCTTATAAGAATTTAAGAATTGAGTGCATCATAAAGAATTTATAACAAATTTGTAGAAAATCAAACTTAGATGGAAAAAAAATCTCATATTTTATTTCATATCCTACATAGAAAAAAAAACGTACAATTTATTTTAACAACGTGTTGTTTGCACAAAAAGTAAATTATATTATAATCTATAAATAAGGAATAAATAAACTGTTGTTTCTTACAACTATCACTAGATAGACAGACTAGTATAAAACGAACGGTTAGCGGTACATCGTGATTTCCATGGCTATTACTATTTAAAACAACGCCAAGCTAGAATAATTCACATTTAGTTCAAGATGCATACCTGCCAACTTTTACGAATTTGGCGTAAAATTTTATTTCTATATTTAAAGTGGTAGTAAAATGTATGCTTTCTATATATTCCTTCCATTTATAAACTTAATTTAAAATCTTTTTGACCACCACTATTTTTAAAAAATTTAAGCATATATATTAATATAAAGTACTGTCGTGTTAGTCCACATAAGCTTTATATAAAAACTGCTTTATGTAAAACTCTCTTTTTAACCAGTTATACTTAACTTAAAATATATGTTATTTAACATAAATCATTATGTAAATAAACACTCTATTATTAATCGTTGCACCACTGATATGCAAATCTAATTTTGTGTCATGTACCTTTTACTCATTATGAACGAGGATTAAGGGTCTGGATTGACCCAGGGACCTCATTAATCCAAGGCTAAGCCGGCCACCGTGACTTATATAAAAACTGCATATGTTTCGGCATAGAATTGTAATTTAAATTCTAATTTACTACCACTGGGGAAAACCATCCTCGAAAGGATTAAAAGTTGGCAGGTATGAAGATGTATGTGGTTGGCTTAATTCAAAAATCGCTTTTTTTCTTTAAGAAACTAGAGTGGCACTTCTCTCTGATTTTGAAATTGATAAAAGAAAAAAAAGACATAATAATACCACTCTGTATAAAAATACAAAAAATACCACATCCCTATTTTTTGGTGAAAATACTACCGTAGTATTAAAAATACTTTTTTTTTTAATAAAAATAAAAAGGAAATAATTTTACTACTACTATTTAGCATTTTTTTAAAAATTGACAGCATATATTTATTCTCAAAATCTATTGCATCTCCGATTGTTGGTTAAGGAGCTATTCAAATCTGCAGTTCTGCCAATTTTATTGTTAGTAGTAGTAATTTATCAATGAAATTATAGACCATTTATACATAATAGATCTTGTTTCGAATTAATCATTCAGCNACTAAATAGTTTTATTTTGAACAAAGTAATGGTGAATTAAATAAATCAAACAATTATAACTCCGCCCACAAATAAACTGCTAAAGAATTACTTTGATTACCAGTTTTGTCTTTTTATACTGATTGATACAGTTTCATGCTGTCACGTATTTGTGACAGTCGGCGCGAAAGGGTTAAGAAACTAGAGTGGCACTTCCTCTTTGATTTTGAAATTGATAAAAGAAAAAAAAAACATAATAATACCACTTTGTATAAAAATACTACAAAAAATACCACATCCCTATTTTTTGGTGAAAAATACTACTGTAGTATTAAAAATACTTTTTTTTGAATAAAAATAAAAAAGGAATAATTTTATTACTACTATTTAGCATTTTTTAAAAAATTGACAGGATATATTTATTCTCAAAATCTATTGCCTTCTCCGAATGTTGGTTAAGGAGCTATTCAAATCTGCAGTTCTGCCAATTTTATTGTGAGTAGTAGTAATTTATCAATGAAATTATAGACCATTTATACATAATAGATCTTGTTTCGAATTAATCATTCAGCAATGTAAGAAAGTGGTTCAGACTCATTTAATTTCAACCAAGTGACGCAAATCACGTCTTGTAGAACCGGCAGACGGGGAACTTACGTCTAAAACTTTCAAGGAAAAACCCAAGGACGTGACCAGCTAATCAAATTCGACAAAACAATACACTTTAACCTTTGATGCGCATAACTTTGATGGAATGACATTCACAGACACATTACTTAGCTATTATGGATTTCTGAAGTTTAAACACATTCTAAAGAATAACAAGAATGTTGTTTATGAAAACATTTTTTATTACAAAGAGAATTCATCCCCCAAACGTGTTTTGTTTCTTCGGTAGGAGTGACCAGTAACTTTTTTTTTCTACATTGATATGGTTACTTAAAGAAATTACTTGACCCTTTGCATTCTGATGTCACCTCTGAGGCGCCATCTTTAATCACCACTCTAAAAATAAAATTTTTTGTAACTTAATAATTAATGACCTTTTGTTATACTTCGTATTTGAAATTATTAAGTGCCTAGATTATTTCAGTGTTTTTAAGTATTAGTGCAAAGGGTTGAGTTGAACAAGTTTCGTAACTACTTATGCCAGGGGTTCCTAATCTTTTTCGGCTACGGAACACTATAATCTATCTTCTTTCGACGGAACCCAAATTTCACAAATAAAATTTTTTAACGTAATTGTGAACGTTATAACCTACAGAAAATTAATTTTTAAAACATTTAAGTAGAGGAATGAAGATTTTTCCTTGTTTTACCATTAATAATCATAAACTAGGCTTTATATCTGACATTCAATTTTATAGTCCACGTGCTTTACCTAGTCTAGTTATGAATTTGTCTTTGGTGTATATGTTACCGTGAATGACGGAAACCAAGAGAATGTCGACTTTCACCGGTGAATGTCAACAATCACATAATCAATATCACATAGTCATAAATAATATCACAATTGGTGAATGTCCGAGATATTTGTTATATCAGATTTGATATTAAGTTATTGGTTGATACCATTATATTAATTCGATATTTTTATATCTATTGAGGATAAATAAGGAGAAACATTAGTGTTTGGAGTACCGGGCAGTGGCACTGAACCTTAAAAGCACATCAGTGTCAGGGCTAAAGAGAATAGAAGGGCTGGTTCACTCCTTTGAAGAAACTCTCGCCGCTCCAATCCTCCGATTTTCTCTAGGGACGTCACTTTGGCGCAATGCTCGCACTTTTACTTCAAGAACGGAGCGTTCGGCCTTACTAGCTCTATGCTAATTAGAG